GTTTTAACTCGGACGGTACGGTGGCGCATTTTCACTCGTGTTCAAACTCGATCGAAGAGAAAGGGGGCTGGTGTTATTGCCACCAACTCAATGACGTCAAAATTTCTCCAAATATCAATATTTTTCTGCTACGTACAAAGTCCAATAATTTTATTGAAACACGGAATATTTTTTTTCTTTAAAACTATACTTTTTCATTTTTGAATGAAATTAAAGTTGCAGCTAAAAATGTCAAGATACGCGATACAATTTTCTGTCGATTCAATGTTCCGTTCAAGTTCGTACAGATCATCGATCAAGAAGAAGTAACAAAGCTTTCTTTAATGTGGGCTGTTTATTTGATCAATAACATATAGCCACTCTTAGTCCAACTCGAACTCGAACGAAACCGAAACTCCGAGGGGTAATGTCTCTCGTTATCTACACGAACAGAGCGAAGAGATTTCTTCATATTTGTAGTTACGTTAAGTAGCTAATTTCTACCCCCCAGTCTCGTCTTTCAAAGTGCAACTTGTAAATTTTATCATGCAATGAATTCCCAAAGCCTGCAAATGATGAAAAGAAGACCCACGTGAAAAACAGTATGAAGGTGCTCGAGGTTTAAGAAGAGAAACGAGGCTCGAGGGTGAATTTTTTTACAACCGCGGATTTCGTAGAAAATGTCAATTAGTTTTGAGCCAAGAGGAAGGGGTGGGTCACATTTTTTCCAGCAATCACTTTCCAAATGCTGCGGCCCAACCCCCTGTACTTATTGATCAGTCCCTAATAACTTGAAATAAATAAATAAAAAAATTAAAATTAAAACACACCAAATTTACACTTCAAAGCGTTGGGTTTATTGAGCACATCCTGGATAAAAAATTACAAATTCAGCAAAAAAAATTTCATAACATTATTCTAACATTAGATGAATGACTGCGTCTGTTTACAGGCGTTCAACGTCGTTTTCATGTACAAATTTTACAACACGTTTAAGTACTAGCGTCTTCACTCTCTGCTTTCAGCGGTTTTCTCTGGGAGGCGCCTGCTTCTGCTGCATACAGCTGCGTGCAACTGACTCGAACAACCTGCAAAGACAGACAAACAGACAGCATGACTGTGGGTGCCGGGGTTCAATTATTTGTAAATCTACATGACAGAGGCAAAAGAACAAATACTGTTTTTAGCTTTCATCGAAGGGGTGCGAGTACTCACACTCAACCTGCATGGTCCGGCCCCAGGGTTTCATCTCTTCTCAGAGAATAACGAATGCTGGGAACCAGGTTGACTCTTAGAGCGGTTTTCAATCTGGGGTGTCGTAAAACCAATACCAAAGCAATTACATTGGCCAATCACAACAAACGTAAACAACACAATGAACCAATGAAAACTCGAAGCAAATACGCGTAACCAGTCCCTGCGCGGGAAAACGCGTGCGACCAAGTCGCGATTGGTTTTAGGTTTGCATCTGATTGGTTTGAATAGGTGGCGCGAAATTTTTAAACCAATCACAGAGCATAGTAAAGCCAAAACCAAAGCAATTCAGGGATTACTTTCGACACTCATTGAAAAACCGCTCTACTCCGAAAGTTGTGACGTCAGTTTATACCATCAGGATACGTCACGTGTGCTTAGCAACATAAAGCAGGATCAGCCAATTCCTCTGATTGGAACGAAGGATCCACGCGATATCATTCGTTTAACCTCTCCTCCCCTCCCCCTCCAGATTAACGGGCTTAATTTTACATTTCAACAATTGCTGGAAATATTTTGGCTCTTATGGTAATTCCTGATAATTCGAAGTAGACCACTTCACAATTCGAACAAGAGGTTGTGTATAATTTAACCATACGGACTTTCAGACATACAAGACGAGCGTTCACTGGTTTAGTTGTCGAATGAAAACCAGCCTAATAAAAGTAACGCGTTTTATTTCAACTTACTTTTCGATCTCAGGGGCGCAATGGACCGAACTCGTGCGTCCAAAACTTGTATTGATGATTTTTAATGAGCTCAATGAAGGTGATGAGAAGGTCCCCACGGATGAGGTCTGTTACGATCAACCGCTCCAACAAAACCCTAATAAGAAATATAAATAAATAAAATAATACTATTATTGACAACAGTAGTATAGCGTAAGCTGTTTTTTTAGGAGTACTTCATTAAAGCATATAAAACCAAGTCACAATCAACATGAAGAAAGAAAATAATAACCAGAGGATATGTTTTTCTTTTCTTTTCCGAGAGCATACACAGCGCTGACAAGGGTCTTGTTGGGTTCCTGGACAAGGCACTTAACTCTCACAGTAATTCTGTTCCTAATTCTGTTCTGAGACTCGATTTCTGGATTTCCGCCGGCAAGATTTCTGGAAAGATGTTTGTTAGCAAGTACTCAGTCCCCTCCGCGTGAAAAGTCTGATTGCTGATGCACGCATGAACTGACCTTTGGGTCTGTAGCCTCTTAAGCCTGCTACAAAACCACGTTCTCTTTTAAACACAATCTCCAACAACCTTTGATCTTTATAAGTTTCACGTATATCAGGGATACAGTATCCCTTCAAACATATGAACCCACGATAAATACAAGAAGCCCCAAACCAACGATGATAACGAAATTCACTTAAGGATTACAAATGTGGCAGCACTTCACTTCCAATATGGAACCCCTAGTAATTAATAATTAAAACTTTATTGAAGTGTCAACTTGTATAGCAGTTTCCCACTAAGTAAGGACACTGTAAAATAATAATCAAACTAGAACTGTGCCTTTCTCCACCCAGGAGTAAAAATGGGTACAGCGAACTGTTGGGGCAACCCGACAAAAATCTGGGGTAACCTTAAAGGTATACACGCCACCGAAGCACAATTCAGTTGAACGAGCGCGAACACACGTACCTTGTAATCTGTTCTTGAATGGCCTCTGTGTTGGCTTCAGCAAAGAGATACAACAGAAACACAGCTGAAGTAATGTGTGGTGGCTGTTTGGATAGCGTAACTGGTTTGCAATAGCATTCAAGAATAGGTAGCGACCTGGAAAAAGAGAAGATAATTGAGTCCTTTGAACGGAGTCATCTAAGCCTGTGCAACCTCACACAGCGGTCAAACGCAAAAATCCGGCTGCCACTTCCGGTTTCCACGGCCTTGACTTTTCCATGAGTTTTGAAGCGTAATGGCCGCGAAGTTTGTAAGGAAACGTTATAGAACATGCAGTGGTAAACCAAAATACGAGCTGAGACACTTTTTGGATAACAATTATTACAATATCTATGCATACTCCGAGTATAAAGCTTAAGTTTTCAGTAAATTTCTTAAGTTTGAGCTTTAAAGCGGACGACTTCGTAATTTTAAGACATTTTGACTGCAAAGTTTTGGCGGGAACTGAGCGCGCAGTACGTTTTGACCGCTGTGGAGTGCAACCTTCGTTTTCCTCCTCCATCCAGACTTCCTTTAGATTTGAAAGCATAACAGAAAACGGGACAAACAACTGATTCATTTTAGGGTTACAGTTTTGGTCAAGAACAGGGTTCATAAAATACGACACTGAATAGGGTCACAATTTTACTCTTGAACAGGCTAATTAAATCAGTACAAACTTTCAAACTCTGGTCTAAAAACAGTGCAAGGGTAGGCCTTTGGCTCTTACAACAACATAAAACAGCTTACAACAATGCCCTAGCCCTGAAACCAATAAAGGTAGACGTGTTTATAACAAACAAATGAAAAAGAGGCTCCAGAAAGGAGTGGCTTTACAGCAAAGGTGTAGCCTCCCGTCTCCCCCCTCCCCCGATTTGTTAGTTTGTACCTTCAGTATCCAGATCCCACCGCCAAGTTTTGGAAGATGTCCATGTGAGACGAATGAGTGATGGTGGACATGGAGGGGGTACCGCTCTTGGCTGTTGTATGTAGGTGATGGCTTGTGTACCGACGATACAGAACCAGCGCGTTCATCAGAGGCACGCTTATACCGCGTCCCTGCGTTCATTAGATACCTGACAAGACAGGAAACAATATTATGAAAAACAACTGAGAAACAAGTATAAGATCCTACTCATAAAGTAGCGGTTTTCAATTTGAGTGTCGTGAAAACCAAAACCAAAGCAATTACAATGGACCAATCACAACAAACGTAAAACAGCAAAATGAAACCAATGAGGAACTCAAAGAAAATAAACGTAACCGGCACCAAGCGCCCTGGTGTGGAAAACGCTTTGGTTTTGCATCTGATTGTTGAATAGGTGCGCGCGAGGTTTTTTTTAAAAAACATCACAGAGCAGCAAAACCAGAGCGATTACTTTCGACACTAAATATGAAAACCGCTCTATTTACGAGAAAAGCAAAGTCAACAGCGGTGGATGATTTTAACTTCCAAGAATAATTCAAATTTATCCTATAGTAAAGGCAAGCACATTCTTCCTCTGTTATTTAAAAAGACCCTGGAGGGTTGGTTCAGCCGGAATTTCGAACCACATCTCTCACAATGCAGTCTTGGCACCCTACCAAACTAAGCTAATCGAGGCGGGCAAAACAAAAGCTTCGTCAACACACTGGATTAGCAGAAATTTGCAATCTCGAAAAATTGTCAGCACACTAAAAAAGAAAAACAAAACAAAAAGTCTAAATATTACCTGCAATGTGACGTTCTTAGTTCTGTCAGGAATGTCACTGGAGCGCGAGTCTTGAGATACGAATCCAAATCCTAAAAAAAAAAGTAAAAAATAACAAAGAACACAGCGTCAATCGATCAACTTTCCTACACCTTCACGTTCACGTTCACGTTTTTCTACAAGGCTTAGATGCTTATCAGGCCGGCGCTTAACTCCGAGTTTTCCATAGCACGAAAACGACTAGGAGTATCGGCTAGCTACATCCCCCAGATGGATGCTAGTCCATCGCAGGTCGGTAACCCCCAGCGTTTTTGACAGGTTGCCCTGACAATCGCCCCGGTACCCATTTAATACTCCTGGGTGGAGAGAAGCGCTGTGAGAGATAAAGTGTCTTGTCCAAAGAACAAACCAATACAGTGACCACAGCCAGCTCTCGAACCCGGACCGCTCGATCCAGAGTCCAACGCGCTAATCATTAGGCCCACCGCGCCTCTCAACGTTCTGTTATGTTGTGGATCACAATTTATTACTCCATTTTTACCTTCTTAAAGACTGCGGGTTGGATGGCGCGAGCGCGATAGGTTGTCAGGATACGCGGAGAATGAGCGATATCTGTCAGCAAGTCAAACCATGCTGGGTCGGAAAAGAAAAAATGTATTGAGACAAAACTAACCTACAGTTGACACCTGCGGCTATCTCGAAGCTCCTCGGTTATCTCGAACGTCAAAACCATTCCCCTAGCATTGTTTTTCCAGTCATTTACTATCGGCTATCATCGCACTCACAAACCCATTCCCCTTGCCCTTGTTTTCCAGTCATTTACTATCGGCTATCTCGAACGTCAAACACTAAACATTCCGCCTTGCCCTTGTTTTCAAGTCATTTACTAAAAATCGGCTATCTCGAACTCAAACCCGCATTCCCCCTGCCCTTGTTTTTCCAGGCATTTACTCATCGGCTATCTCGAACTCAAACCCATCTCCCCTTGCCCTTGTTTTTCAGTAATTTACCTATCGGCTATCTCGAACTCAAACCCATTCCATTCGCCCTTGTTTTTCAGTCATTTATTATCGGCTGCATCTCGAACTCAAACCCATTCCCCCTTGCCCGCTGTTTTTCAGTCATTTACTATCGGCTATCTCGAACTCAAACCCCATCGTACCCTTGCCCTTGTTTTTCAGTCATTTACTATCGGCTATCTCGAACACAAACCCATTCCCCTTGCCCTTGTTTTTCAGTCATTTACTATCGGCTATCTCGAACTCCCTACTATCGGGCTATCTCGAACT